CCTCTGCTTCCACCTGCTTTCTAAAAGACACACACACACACACACACACACACACACACACACGCACACACTTTTTTTACTCACATGCACAGAAAGAGCTCAGCCATTAGGCTGCAACGTGTCACTAACTATAATGGCATCAGGTCATGGCATTAGAGGCACAATCCATCAATTTCAGCAGCTCTTGCCACTTGATTGTTTTAGGAAATAGGTAAGAACCTTCCAGGGAGAAAAGCGAATCTTAATATGGGAACTCGGTCGTGAAGGCTAAACCTTTCAGGCCATATTTTGTCTTGGCGGCATATTTAGAAAAAGCATTTCATCAATCTGTATCCACCTGATGGTAAGTGCAGATGTTCGACATGCTTCAGACTGAAAGTTTGGTGATTAAATAATGCGTGTGTCTGCCCAGCATCAAACTATACTCCACGTCCAGGTGCTTGTGCTCATATAGCATGACTGCGTACAGGCTCGCGAGCAGAGCAGCGTTTATGCTTATGCTAACACTCCCACTTACTGACATTTTTTATGCACTCTGAAATAAGCAAAGAACAAATTGTACCCTTCAAACTAAACCAAACAGAATATATTTCAATTCCGTTCCCCTAATGGTGATCATGGATGTGGTTTTTCACATACTAGACAGCGTATGACTGGTCCTACTCAAAACTGCTCTGGTGTGTTTGTGCACAAGTTTTGAACACACTTGTTTATTTTTATACCTCAGATTATAACATTGCTCATTTACACTGGTATACTTTTGAAGCTAAACACAGACTTTTAGACAGATTAATTCTCTGATGCTGGTTTCTGGCTATTAGAAACATATGGCCTATGTGAAATAATGTCGCAAACTTTCTCTATATGCAGCATCTTATATAATACAACTGCACAGAAACAGTGCACTCAAGTTTCTCCAGAGTGTAAACTCAGGTGTGGGACTACCCGATGCGACAGTTCTTCAGGAAAGCATTAGATTGAAAAACTACCGCGGAGGTTAATTGCAGTGGTTATCGTAGTCTAATCGTCTGCTAATGTTCAGGAAGTCAGATTGCAAATGAGTGTCATTAGACAGTGTCAGAGGTGACGAAGAAGTTTTAGCTGCTGGTCCGGGGTCGCTGCTCTCCTCCGCAGCGGAACCTTTCTAATGATCTTGTCAGAGCCGAGGCCGGCACATCACTCAGGCTTTAGCGAATCGTGCGTTCTGATGTGTTTTGTTCTAAACGCCCATCTATCCATCTCACCTCATAAGGCCTTTTGAAATGAGAGGTTCTGGTCTCAGTTTGGAAATCTTTTGGGGCTGCCATGTGATTAGCATCCATCCTCACGCTGACTGTAAGAAACAAGACTGTCCTTGTTTCCTTCCCTCCATTTTGTCCACAGACTGTCACATCTTGTTTACAAACAAACGAATAACACAGTGTAATAAATGGACGTGCGCTTGCAGTTGGACTGCAGACTTGCGCTTGTGAGTAGCTCAGTTACTACTAAACGGTGCCAAGGTGACAGCAGTTGGAGGTTTGATTCTCATTGTAAAAGCTGCCACACACACACTTCAAACATTTATCATGCATTAATCACTGAGCTGTCATGGGAGAATCAAGCAAACCACAATTTTAGACTCTTAATTCTCTGGACATCATTCTGATTTAGACCAGGATTTCCCTGTCCTGGATAATTACACGGGTCTGCCCCCTCTTGTTTGACCTCTACCTATTGACCTGAGTCAGGAAGCACTGCTAATGGAAAGGTCAGCACTACAAGTATTGTATCACTTTTGGTTGTACTCTGCAAATGCCAGATTTTTTGCAACTCAAAGAGCCAAATTTTATATTAACAAGTCTGCAAGAGACAGAATTGTATTTGGAATGATGCATTTGTATCCAAATATTATTTTTGTGTATGTTGTGGAGTCGGTGCCAAAGCTAAAATCTTCTTTCAGCCAAAGTAACTTTGTTTAGCCGTTGGGATCCAGAGTCCTCTTCAACTTTTAGAATTATTTTAGGGCAATTTTAAGAAGAAATTACAGGAAAATGTTAAAATATATTTTACTACACTTTAGCAAAACTAGACTATTGAAACTCCATCAAAGCGCTGTAGGCTGCACTGTGTATTGTAAAGGAAAAAAATGCAATTAGAAATGCAACATTGCAGATTGTTGCTGTGGAATAAATGTGCACATATTTAAAACCACATGCACTTCTTCATCTCCGTACTTTGCATCCATAAAGCTTGAATGACTCAGCAAGGTGAGAGCCAAAAACAAAAGTAACAAGTCCTGACATCAGTCCCCGTCTTCTACTTTTGGTCGCCTCTATGTTGCTGCCTTCGATGGGATGCTCGATGAGCGTATTTAGGGTTCTCATGGGAAAAGGTAACAGTGTGGCCCATAAAAGAGAGTTATGAGGAGGTACTGGAAGTACCAGAGGTTAGTGTCAGCATTGGTTTTCATTTAAAGTTACTCTGCACGGACTCTTCTCCCTAGCGGCTGTAAATAAAACGGGCACGCAAACATCACTGAAGGAGCTCGTTCAGGAAAAACTAAACGGGTGCTCTTAAGAGCCAACATCAACAATTACATTCGGCTGTACTCTGAAAACATACAATAAACACACCTTCCTCTTTCTGACCTTTAATTCAGCTACAACTTTCATGTTGTTTACATGCAGGATGCCATTAAGGGTGCCCCTGATTGGCTATACACAAAAATAATGGAAAAACCATTCGTGGTAATCAGTGAAATTAGTTAGAGTCTTCCTGTGGGTGTGTAACTGCGATAAATTATTTTGGTTTCATACTGCACATCTTCCCTGTGATGTTGTTGCAGTGGGAGTCTGGATCAAATCATGTCACTTTTGAATTATGACTCATTTTACTCTAATCTGCGGAGCAAGCGAGGCCATAAAATAAACGTTTTGGGATCTCTTACAAGGGCGAGACATTTCCAAGGCCCCCTGATAATCTTCATTAAGCATATCCTTACTACCATTCATACTCTCAGATGCAATTAGAGCTGTTTGTATTCTAAAACCTTTCACCTTAAAGGCTTCAGACCTGTTTCATAGTAACTGAAAGAAGTATTTCAATCTGCGCGCTCAGTGCTTGCTTTGCGGCCTGGCATCATGTGAAAGCACCTGGAGACACATGACACATTTTGGTTCTC